TCTTCTCATTTTGAATTGTGCCACATCAGCAAATGAAGGTCCCAAAAGTTCTACTTTATCCATATCATTAAGATTGGCTCTAGTCTAATGAGGCAGCTCTTTCCAGTCATATCTTGAGGGACTCATCTGCCGGCATTGTACTGGACAATGTTTCAGGGATATTCATAAAATTGTCCAGTAACATATCAGACAATGTTTCACTGCTATTCATATGGTTTTCACTGGCCAACTATTTTACCTTCCAGCTGTCAGCCTTGGCTGTAAGTATAAGAATATGTATCTACATGTTTGTGTGTGCTGTATAAATATAATAAACCACAAAGGTGGCTCAGTTATGGAGGCTTCTAGGCATAATAAAACACCTCACAGGATTGGTTTACTGGGTTTGAAGGCTTAGAACCATAATCTTGTGGGGCAACTCAGTCAATTGGCATAACGTGGTTAATAAAGATAATGTTCTATATCCTAGTTTGGTGAGTAGCATCTGAAGTCTTAAAAGCATGTAATTGGCCATGTGAGATGCAACTATTGGTATGTACTAGTCTGGAACCAAAGAAAAAGAAGGATACCAAAGACTCAAAGAAGAAACAAATGTATGGGACTAATAGCCCACATGAGACCAGAAGAACTAGATGGAATCTTGCTACTACTACTGAACACTCTGACCAGTGACACAACAGATGGTTTCAGACAGGAAGGAAGAAAAATGTAGACAAAACTCAAATTCTTAAAAAAAAAAAAAAAAAGTTAGACCCACCAGACCAGTGGGGACTAGGGGAACCCCCGAGACAGACTGTCCTGAGATACAGCTTAAACTTGAAACTGAATCCACTCCCGGAGTTTCCCTTCCAGCCAAACAATGGATTGGCTCATAAAATAAACAATATCACTTGTGAATACTGAGCTTACTCTAAAGCAAAGATTAGAAGGTAATAAGGGGCATGAAAGTAATGAGAATGCTGACACATTATCAAACATAGTCACTGACCAACATGTATAGAAATTGTCAAATGGAAACCCACTTTGCTGTGTAAACTTTTAACAAAAACAAAATAAAATATTTTAAAAATGTATTATATAAAAAAAATGTATTATAAAGCCACTGTAATCAAAACAGTATTGTGCTGGTATAATGACAGACATATAGAATAATAGAATAGAATCAAGTATCCAAATAAACATCTAAGGTAAATTGATATTTGACAAAGGTGCCACATCCATTTTATGGAGAAAGAATAGTCTTTTCAATAAATGGTGCTGGCACAATTGGATTTCCACATGCAAAAAAATTAAGTTGGACCCATACCTCATACTATATATGAAAATTAATTCAAAATGGATCAAGATTCTAAACATAAGAATTAAATCTTAGAATTCTTAGAAAAAACATGGGGAAATGCTTTGGGACTTAGTGTTCACCAATGGACTCTTAGATATGACACCAAAAGCATGAACAACAAAAACAAAATAGATATAACAGACTTCATCAAAATTAAGAGCTTTTTATGCATCAAAAGATTTTCCTAAAAATGTGAACAGACAATGCACAGAATAGGAGAAAATACCTGGTAACCATATATCTGATAAAGAGCTCTGGTAGTGTAGTGCCTAAAGCACTTGACTGCTAACCAGAAGGCTGGAGGTTCAAACCCCCCAGCCACTCCTCGGAAGGAAGGTTGGACAATCTACTTCCATAGTGATACTGCCTCAGAAACCCAAGGAGGGGTTGCTATGAGTTGGGTCCGACTTGACAGCACATAACAACAACAACAACAACATATATCTGGTAAGGGTTAAACATCCAGAATATATAAGGAATTTATACAACACAACATAAAAGACAAGCAATCCGATTTAGAAAAAAAAAGGCAAAGAATTTGAATAGGCATTTCTACAAAGATAATACAAATGGCCAACAAGCACATGAAAATATGTTCAGTATCACTAGTCATTGGGGAAATAAAAATGAAAAGCATGATGAGATACTACTTCACACCCACTAGGATGGTTATTATCAGAAAAACAAACAGTAACAAGTGTTGTTGAGGATGTGGAGAAATCAGAACACTTATCTTTTATTGGTGGCTTGTAAAATGGTGCAGCCACTGTGAAAAACATTTAGCGGTTCCTCAAAAAGCTAAAGATAGAATTACCACATGATCCAGCAATTCCATTTATAGGTATATACCCAAAAGAATTAAAAGCAAGTACACCAACAGATACCTGTACACCCATGCTCACTGCAGCATTATTATAATAGCTAAAAGATGCAAACAACCCAGTGTCCACAGACAGATGAATGAACAAAATGAGCAATATACATACAATGGACTATTACTCACTCAAAGAGAAATTAAGTTCTGATACAGGCTACAACATGGATGAATTCTGAAAACATTATTGTAAGTGAAATAAGTGAGCCAAAAAAGGATAAACACTATATGATTCCACTTACAGAAAATATCTAGAACAGGAAATGGAGAGAGACAAAAGTTTATCAGTGGTTATCATGGGATGGAGGGAAGTTATTGCCTAAGGGGTAGTGGGTTCTATTTGGGGTGATAAACTTTTTTAAAGTGGATAGTGGTGACAGTTACACAGCATGGTGAATGTGATTAATGGCAATGAATTGTAAACTTAAGATTGGTTAAACTAGTGGTCTCTCCTCATCCTTTTCCAGAGCAAAGGAGAGTGAAGAAAATCAAAGATACATGGAAATAATTAGTCCAAAAGACTAATGGATCATGATAATCTTAGCCTATACAACCCTGACACCAGAAAATCTAGATGGTACCTGGCTACTGCTGCCAACACTCAGAAAGGGACTAAAATTGAAGATCCTGGATAGAATGGGAGAAAAATGTAGAACAAAATTCAAAAAATATTTAAAAAAACACAGGATTACTGGTCAAATAGAGACTGGTGAAACCCCTGAGGTTATTGCCCCGGAATTGGCTCATTCCCATAGCTAACTTTCAGTCAAACAATAGACAGGTCTATGAGCTGAATGGGAGCTCTGGTAGCATAGTGGCTAAGGCACTTGACTGCTAACCAGAAGGCTGGCGGTTCAAACCCACCAGCCACTCCTCGGAAGGAAGATGGGGCAATCTACTTCCGTAGTGATACTGCCTCAGAAACCCAAGGAGGGGTCGCTATGAGTCGGGTCCGACTTGACGGCACATAACAACAACAACAACAAATGAGCTGAACAACAACTACATCAGAGAGATGCACTTCTTAAAATAGTCAACCATGGGAGATCAGAACAGTAGTATTTGCACAGCAAAAAAAAAAAAGCCAGGGAGGCAGAAATGCATAGATGGGAAGGACAGAGGGAAAGGGTGACCACAGAGAAGTAGGAGGAGAGCTGTTACACTGTGGGGATTGCAATCAGTGTCACAAAACAAAATGTGTATGAACTGTTCAATGTAAAATGAATCTGCTCTGTAAAATTTCATCCAAATCACAATAAAGTTTTAAAGGAAAAAAAAAAAAAAGACTGGTTGAAAGAGTAATTTTTTAAAATATATTTTTTTGAAAAATCAAAGTGGGGCAAAAGGAGAGTAATCTCTCTAATCTATGTGGAATAAACTCTATTTAAGGATCCATAAATATCTATGAACAGAGAAACTATTAGGAAATTACTGATTGCCTCCATATTTGGTATCTCACTTACCAATTGTTTTTCCACTTTTAACTTATATTGTTGAGCTTCGAATTTCCTCTGCAGGTACTCAGCAGACCTTATAAAATAAGAATGTCCAAATTTTAATGAGTATCAGACCTTCATCTGACAAAGCTGATTTTCACCTTGGTAATGAGATTCACAATTCACCTATGGCTTTAAATTCAAAGATCAAGAAAGAGTTTAAAGTTATAGAATGTTTGTTTTGGAAAAGAAAATCTTTGGAATCAAGAGGAAAGGAGTTAAAGAGAAGAGTTACAATTGGGATGCAAGATGAGATGAAACAGGAGAATATTCTGATTCAGTGATTTTTCTTCAGGGCAGGAATTAGTCTTTCCATGGTCTACAATATTCTGGAAAATAGAACCCACACTTTAGATGTTCTCATGCTTTGTGTCTCTCTCTCTTCCTGTAGCTTTGCCCTGCCTTATTTAACTGAAGGTCTCTTGTCTGTTTCCTGCATTCTACGCTGGGCTCTTTGAAGCAGGATGGCGTCCCACTTTTTTACCTCTGTTTCTGATGCTGGTACATCAATGCTTAATGAATCAATGAGGGATCCTTTAACTGTCTCCCAAAATGGTTAAGGTATTTTGCAAGCACAATTCTGGTCAAACCATTTTCAAGTTTATACCTACATACTTATCTTTTTTTATTTTTATTTTTTTAAAGAATTTATATAGTTATTGATTGCCAAATAAAAACTACCATATTTCAGATCATAGTAGAAACTATGTGATAAAGTTTTTTGGAATATAAGTAACTTCCAGAGTGTCAAAGAAAGAACTTTCATTTCTGAAATCTCTCCTTTAGGATCATAATGAACAGTCCCCACTCTGCAAATGAGCCAAAAAACCAAACTCACTGCCATCAAGTCGATTCCAACTCACAATGTCCCCCAGTAGGTTTCCAAGACTGTAAATCTTTACAGAAGCAGACTGCCTGATCTTTCTTCCCTGGAGTGGCTGGTGAGTTCAAACCACCAATCTTTTGGTTAACAGCCAAATGCTTTAACTATTACACCACCAGAGCTCCTTAGTCTACAAATACCAAAACCAAACCCACTGCCATGGAGTTGATTCTGACTCACAGTGATCCCCATTGGGTTTCCAAGGCTGCACATCTTTTTGGAAGTAGATTGCCTCATCCTCCTCTGACAGAGCAGCTGGTGGGTTTGAACCACTGACCTTCTGGTTAGCAGCTAAATGTCTTACCCACTATGCCAGCCAAGGTCCTTTAGCCTACAAATAGGCAATTGTATATCAACTGTAGAATTGTAATTAATAAGTCAATTGTTTAGAAATATATTGAATGGCAAGCTAGTTGAGGTTTCTGAGTTTTAGTTCCTCATTTGTAAAATGGGCACAATATCATTATCTCTTGGGGGTTAATATGAAGACTAGAAGAGATTAGGTCAGTGAAGGTTAGGCTAGTATCTGACATGTAGATACTGCTTGAGTCAAATGAGGGCTTACTATAGAGCTATTCTCTCTCAAAATCTAATAGGCACATGTAACAATAGTTGTGTGACAAAAACTATTCAGAGTAACCCAGGGTCTGTCTAAAAGACATTCTCCCTTCTCTCTTACCACATCCCTGTACAGATTCCTCGTCCTCCACACGGGGATATCAAGATTTGATTCCTGGGCTCTAGCAGGGAGAAAGCTGAGTTGGGAGTTGGGGAGGGGTATTGAGAGATTAATGCAGAAGGGTAATCAGATGAGGAGGAGCACCCTGGGATGCAGCAGGATGGCACCTATGATGAGTAGCAGCATACAGGGGAGAGAAGAACCTTTCTATCATTTTGTGTGAGGGTTTGAAGGATAAAATCAGATCTAATCAAAATAACTGACAGTTTGACAACTCTCATATGTAGACAAAGAACGGAAGATACATTTCTAAGTGGCTGAGAAAAGAGAAAAGGAGTTTTATTTGTATGTAAAATGCATGTCACTTATTAACTGAGACCTATTTGGATACTATGATTTCAACTAATAGAACACATAATTTTTTGTGAGCATGGGGGTAATTCAGTATGCATTATGAAAATGGATGTTGTTATTTGTTGTTATGTACCGTCGAGTCACATCTGACTCATAGTGACCCCTCCTTGGGTTTCCAAGACAGTATCATTACAGAAGTAGATTGCCCCATCCTTCTTCCGAGGAGTGGCTGGTGGGTTTGAACCGCCAGCCTTCTGGTTAGCAGTCAAGTGCCTTAGCCACTATGCAACCAGAGCTCCCATGAAAATGACCACCCAAAAAATCTGAAAATCTAGAAGAAATGGGCAGATTTCTAGAAACACACCACTTACCTAAACTAACACAG